TGAGGCGGAAACGTGCCCCTAGTCGGAGAGCTGATGCTGCTCCCCTAAGGCAGCAGTGACTTTCCAGCCGGGTGACATGGGGCCAAACCCGCTTCCGCCCACGGGCACATGGCTTGCTCACAACCCAGGGGCAGGCAGCGGGGCCTGAGGGCTTGGGGACGGTGTCCCAGAATGGCGGGCACAGGCTTAGCGCTTGCAGTGACCTTGTAGCAGACAGCAACGGGACATGGCGTGAGGTTTTTCTCCACTGTGCATGGTGGTTTGTTATTGTAGGGTCGCATGAGTGCTGTGGGCTGTGCATGCTGCTGTGTTATTACAGGGTTGCTTGAGAGCGCTGGACCATGCATGCTGCTTTGTTGTTGTAGGGGTGCTTGCAAGCGCTGGGCTGTGCATGCTCTTTTGTTATTGTAGGGTTGCTGATGAGTGGGGGGCCGAGCATGCTGCCTTGTTATGGTAGGGTTGCTTGCACAAGGTCTGAGTCAAAGCCCTTTGAAGTCACTGGAATGGCTCCCCCAGGCTGTGGATGGGGCCCAGAGGCGAGCACGAGCGAGCTCTGTGCCTTCTCGGGGGTTGCTCGTCTGCGAGCCCCAGCCACGTACCTACACCCCTAACGGGCCGGGCTGGAAGCGTCTCCCCAGGCGCCGTCTCCCCAGCTGGCAGTGGGCTGCTAGATCTCAGTGCTCAGGGTGTGTGTGGGGGGAGGTGGTTCTCCTCGCTGGGCATGGGGTATGGGGGAGCAGCTGGCTCTTTAACTCAGCCAGGGAACCCCAGGATTTGGGGGAGGAAGGGGAAACTGCCCTGCTCCTCCCCCACCCTCTGCCAAGGACCCCTTCAATCTTCCCTCCCATTGGAGCCAATGGGACCCCCTGGGAGACCTGGGGCAGGCTACGGTCTATATGGGCCCTTGGCAGCAGTCTCTCCTGGGCCACTCCCCACCCCAGGTCTCCCCATGCCCCACTGTGCCCCACACCGGCAGTGCCCACAGGCCGCTCCCCACTGCTGTTGTCAGGCAGCCCCCCGAGCAAGGAGTTTGAGTCTGGTCCCAGCAGGGAGCAGGTGTTTGCATCACCTCCCTCGCTCTGGAAGACACTGGCACACAGCTGGGCACTGCCTGCAGGGGTCTGAAATGCCCCTTCCCCCAGGAACATAAGGCAGCTTCGCCAGCCCCTGCTCCCTGCTTGGAGCGGGCGACAGTGGCCTCTTGCCAGCGTGCAAGAGGCTCGCACGCTGCAGTCGTGGGGCAGAGGTGGTGGGAGACCACGCTGGCTCGCTAGCCCCTCCCATCCGAGAGACTCTGGGCACATTCACAAACATGCCCACTTTAACCCCTGCCCGTGCCGTGGGCAACATCCCCTTATGAGCGCTGGGGAAACAGAGGCACGGGGAGGGGACGGCCCAGATCCTTAAAGATATTTAGGCACTGAACGCCCATTGATTTCAATGGGAGATAGTCTCCTTCATACCCTTGAGGATCTGTGCTGAAGTGGCTTTCCCAAATGAGGAAAAGAACCCAGGAGTCCTGACCCCTAGACATCTACCCGACCCATTGTAGCATGCGCTCTCCTAGGGAGCCAGGCTCACAGAGGGGCTGCCCCCCCACCCCGGACAGCCCCAGAGAACTTAATAACGCAACATCTGGAAGGAGAAAAGCAAATAGGAGGGGTTGGCTAGCAGCGCTGGGCAATTACTAGTCCCTGGGCCTTCCCCAGCCTGTGGCAGGAGTGGGTGACTCCAATTGTACTTCACGTGAAGGGGACGTGCAGGCATGTGGTGGTGCGGTGTGCATACATGTGTGCTTGTGTTGCCCACATACAGGTGGGTGCATGTGAGTACACATACCCCTCCCCTCACAGCTGTGTGTGCACACATCCCTCCCCTCACATCCACGTGCGGTCACACCTCCTTCCCCTCATATACACACATATCCCCTCATACACACACCCCTCCCCTCACATCTGCGTGTGCACACACTCCCTTCCCCTCACATCCATGTGAGTAAACACACACCCCTCCCCTCATATCCGGATGTGATATGGATGGGAGGGGAGATGTGTGTGTGTGCCTGGAGGTGAGGCATGGGTGAGGGGTGGTGCGCGTGTGTGTGTGTCACACAGGTGTGAGGGGAGGTGTGTGCGTACACACTGCAGTGAGGGATGTGTGTGTATGAGGGGAAGGAGGTGTGACCGCACGTGGCTGTGAGGGGAGGGGTGTGTGTCTACTCACATGGATGTGAGGGGAAGGGGGTGTGTGCACATGCAGATATAAGGGGAGGGGTGTGTGTATGTACTCACACAGATGTGAGGAGAGGGATGTGTGTACTCACATGGATTTGATGGGGGT